AAAAAGAGAGAGAGAGAGGGAGGGAATGGGGCGGGGCACGGCTCCCTCAGCGGGGTTTCCAACGACGACCGCCGCCGCTGTGCACGGCTCTCTCTGTCTCTCTCTCTCTCTCTCTCTCTCTCTCTCTCTCTCTCTCTCATACACACAAACAAAAAAAAAGAAAAAGTGCCAGTGTATATTTCCATGTTCTAGCCGAAGATGCATTCCGATTTTGCTCATCATGTCGATCTTCGTAGCCTCTCTCTATCTCTCTGCGCCGATGGCTGGAATGCGGTGTATATTTCCATGTTCTAACGGAACATTCATTCCGATTTTGCTGACCGCCAGAAGCCAAAAACGGGAGGGCCTGCTGCGGGTACCTGCCCCCAGGCCACGCCAGGCCACCTCCCGTTTTTGCGAATTACTGAACCGGTAGGCCGTCGAACGCATACTTCACTGTTTTTCTTGAAGTTTCGAACTGGTCTTCGCCCAAGCTTGCAGCGGACTGTTATTCCTGCGAATTCGAAACTGTGCAGCAGTCACCCGCGGAGTTATTTCAAAAAAAAAACTACCCTACTAACCCATACTACAGTCATACTAACATACTACTTCTACTAAATGATATACTCGTCCCGAGGATGAAAGCTCTGTGTTCAGACAAACCACAATGAGTTGATCTTCCCATTTCTTGCTTGCAGGAAACACTGGCAATTCTCTCCTTCTTATTCTTCTTCTTTCATTTAATGCATCCGCCTGGGTCGCTAAAGGGGGTCGTATGAGCAGCCTCCACTATGCCAGTGGGGAAGGACAGTGTGCCAATCCCCATACTGAATGGCATACTGGTTTAGAGGATGAGCACTCCCTGTTGAGGACAGCTCACAATTAGTTTAGTACTGCCTTTCTTTTCTCCCGGAAATTTCGGCGGAATGCGGTTTTCTCACAGGTAAGGCTGGCAGTTCTGGAATGCAAGTAGGGAAGGACAGCGGGTGAATGAACGGGAAAAGAAGGATGACCGAGTGGAGGCAGATGGGGTAAAGAAAAGGGGGAGAAAAAGGATGAATGACAGCCTCACAGTAAAAAAAAGGACGAATGACAGCCTCAGGGAAGTGCCATGGGCTAAGTTTCACTAGCGGGGATTTAGACTTGGTTTTGAGTACACACGGTTCCTGCCATCCTATCTGAACATCTCACGGCCACACGGTGGCCAGGTTGAGAAATACTCAAATGGATTGGGGCTTAAGCCACCAGTACATGGCCCCAGCCAAGTTGATAATCCCATTGAGCCTCTCCTACAATTTCGGAGGGCTCGTGGCGCCTTTGGACCAGTAGAAAAAACATAGGGGCAACGGCTCCTGGGTCACACCTAGCATTTGGAATAGGCAACTTTAGCAGTTCTGAAAACAGGGCAAAAAATGCTACTGCTAAATCTGCATTCCCCCCACCTAAAAAAACCGCTACAGTTTCAACCCCCCACTAAGCTTGCACATTCTGAAACTCAAACAATGACATGGGTGCCACTTTGTCTTTTCTTGCCTATTTCAAACTAAAAAAGCGACTCAGGAGCAGTTTCCCCCACAAAATATTTGTCCCATGTCCTGGGGTGGCACTAGGCCCAGCCCATAGCAAAAGAAAAAATTCCGCCTGGCTTGCCGTGTCTCTGCGGTGTTGTGTGTGGTGTGTGTTGAGTTGAACAATACAGCCGTGCAGGGGTGGGATGGATATCTTTTTTTTTTTTTTTTTTTTTTCTGGGGACCAATGCTCCAGTCTGTTCGTGGGGAGCAGCACGTGCTGGGAACCGGGCCCAGCGTCCCATATAGAGTTACACAAGTCATTTGAGATACCGGGGCCATTACCCGGCTTCAGCTGAGAATCAATCTGGGAACTATTGAGAACTATTGAAGAAATTCAAGAGAATTAAAAAGAGGTTGAAAAACTATGTTTTTCAAATGCTCAGAACCCCTAGACTCCCAAACAAAACTCTCTAAAACTATCCAACACTGTCTTATTCCCTGTCGGGCTCTCCCAGGCCTCACACTCCCACTCGGCTAGGTTACAGAGCAACACGACTCACCCCAGCTCCGGCCAGCGTCCTCCCAACAGCAACCCTTGGTTGTCCCTTGGAATGCCCACCCCAAAGCATCCCCAGATCTCTCTACCAGGCCTCACGCTCCTGCAGTCAGCAGGTTACAGGGCAACACCCCAACACCGGCCAGCGTCGTTCTGGCATCGAACAACCGCAGATCCATGAATGTACCAGCATCAAACAGCCTAAAGCAAATTGCTAGAAGTCCCCAGAATCCTAAAGCATTCTCTTTTTTTTTTTTTGAGAGCACATACAGAAAAAAAAATTGAGATACCGGGACTTCAACCCCGCTTTGTCTGAAGAATATGATCATGAGCAATTACTAGCCTATTCGCTGAAGAGGAGTTTTAGAAGCAAAAATCGCCATCACAAAGGTCCTATAAATCCTCAAAACCCTCGGAATCTCTAACACATCCTTCTAAAAGTCTCCAACATTGTCTTACTCCCTGCCAAGCTCTTCCAGGTCTCACACCCCCACCCGCTCGGGTTACAGGGCAACACAACTCACCCCAGCTCCGACCAGCGTCGTCCCAGCAGTAACCCTTAGTTTTCCCTTGAAATGCCCAACCCAAAGCATTCCTAGATCTCTCTACCAGGCCTCACACTCCTGCATCAGCAGGTTAACAGGGCAACACCCCAGTGCCGGCCATCGTCGTTCTGGCATCGGACAGCCGGAGATCACTGAGTATAACAGTAATGAAGCCTCCTAAAATGAGTTGCTAAGGGTCCCCAAAATCACAAATCATTCGTAAGACCACAGTTTTCTAAGATTTGATCACGAAAATATTCGAACCGAAAACCACCTACCTTCAGTGACTATCAGCAGCTCAACCCTATCCGCCTCTCTCCTATAACCCGATACCCAATCTCTACCAGGCCTCCCACCCCCAACTGCTAGGTTACAGAGTGGCACGACCGACCCCAAAAATCCCCCCACCCACTAGGTTACAGGGCAAAACGACCCGCCTCGGCTCTGGCCAGCGTCGACTAAGCATCAGTTCGCCAATAGACACTTGAGTGCCTTCCACCCTCGACAACTCCCCAGATCTCTCTACTAGGTATCATGTTCACGTACCGCTCGGGTTACAGGGCAGTGCGACCAAGCCCCAACACCGACCAGCATCGTTCTGACCTCGTCCATCCGCAAACCACTGGGACCAAAGACATCAACAGATACCAGACAAGTCACCAATCGTCGCCATGGCTGTAGTTCCGATCATCCACTCTTTCAAGCACTGGCTGCAAACATCCAACAAAACCTTCTCAACCTTACTATGGCAAGACTTACTACGGTACAGCCACCATCTCCACCGCTGTTGTACCCTATTTCTGCCCTACTGGCTAGCCCCTTCGCCGCAGAGCGCATTATCTCCAACCATCACCGCAAGCACAATCCACTACAACCAGCACCTAAATTATGACGATTTTTCCAATTGAAACCTCAAAAATAAAAAAGAATTCAAAGAACACAGATACACACACAGAAATCATAACCTAAGAAGTCAATCAACACCTATTATTCCCACAGGGAGAGAGAGGACGGGAGAGAACTACTTCTTTCCCCATAGAAATTCCTGCGCCTATTCACATCTCGGCTGGATGTAAAAACGTTCACAGGAAGCCGAGCGGCTTACTCCTCCCCCCCAAAAAAACAAGCTCCTGTCCTTTCGCTGCCTCCGCTGGAAGGCGCCCCCTCACCTCCCAGCCCCAGTTCAGAACAACCTCCTAATTCAGTCCTGCTCCCTCAACAACATGCAATACCCCCTAGAGCATGCCCCCAAGGAGCTGAAGATCCCCCTTCCCTCATGTCCCACCTCCTCCAAGTGAAACACCTCTCGACTTCTCATCTTGTTGAAAACAGCACGGCCCCTTGTCTTCCCTCCCAATCGTCGTGGCTGATCCGACCCAGATCAGTCTGGCCCAAAGGAGAGCAAAACCCATAATGCCAACCCTACCCTCTCAAGCATCACACCTCCCACCTTGTATAACCTTCGCACGGAGGGGCTCCAATCCTGAAGGAGATAATTCAATCAGCACCTATGAGCCCAAATCCTACAATATCACATCTTGAGACTCGATTGTAACCAAGTTTTTGAAGATCCTTCAAACAAGTGACATCAAATATCGAATTAAAAAAATGAGCCCAAACTTACGCGCACAAATATGGAGAACTACGTCAGATGTATAATTAGATCAAAGATGGATAAACATAGGACATCAAGTTCACTTTGAGAAAATCAATTTGTAACCCTTTGTAATCTAGCTTTCCCGGGGCGCTCGACCGGGCATGCCCGGCCGGGCGCCCCGGGCGCCTTGCCCGGGTAGGTACCTCGCCCGGGGTWCCCCGGGCATGAAAAAAATCCACCGATTTTTTTTTTTTTTTTTTTTGGTCTACGRGGGTTTGCTGCGCTGTCCGAGTACTGCCCAAATCCGCCCTCTTTTTTTTTTTCCAGCCATATTGGTTTCTGTTGGGAAAAGAGGGGGGGGGCCTATGGCGGGAGAGAGGAGGGAGGACTTTGGCGGGAGGAAGGAGGGAGGACTATGGCGGGAGAGAGGAGGGAGGACTTTGGAGGGAGGAAGGACGGAGGACTATGGCGGGCGGAAGGAGGGACTATGGCAGGAGGTACGAGGAGGTAGGAGCAGGACTCTAGCGAAGGTAGGAGGAGGTGGGGGCAGAACTCTAATGAAGAAGAAGGAAAGAAGAAGAGGACTATGGTGTCCCCGAAGGACTGTAGAGAGTAAGAAGAGGAGGAAGAAGAAGACGACAAAGAAGAGAAGAGGAAGAAGAAAAGAGGGAGAGAGCAAGAAGAGGAAGAATAAGATAAAGAAGAAGGGAAGGAGGGAGGGAGCCTTTGGAGGGAGGAGGTGGGGGAAGGGAGACTGATGGAGGAGGAGGGGGGAGGGAGTCTATGGAGGGAGGAGGGAGGCTATGGTAGACGGAGGCGAAGTATAATCAAGCATTCCCCCCCACCAAAAAACGATGACGATTTGTTGATGAAGCGCTATGGCGGAGGAAGAAACAGGGAGAAGCAGACGCAGATACAGAAGCAACAGAAGAAGAAGAAGAAGAGGCGGCAACATGAAAGAGACGAAGAAAAACAAGAACCGATGAAGAATAAGAACAAATAGAAGAAGAAACGACAAAGAAAAAAAGACAAGAATGAAGATACAATGAAGAAGGAAAATAACACGACGAAATGGAGAAGGAGAGGAAGAAGAATGAGACAAAATGAAGAAGAACAAACAAAGACATAGTAGAGATGAAGAAGAAGAAAGTAGAAGAAAAAAAAGAAGAAAAAGAAGAAGAAGAGAAAAACTTACCTGAGTAGGCAATGGCGGCTTAGGCAGTCTTCGTCAGGGGCGAGGTGGATGACGCGGCTGGACGGTAACGACGGTGGCGCGCCGGAGGGAAGCAGGGTGATGACGATGGCGGCTCGGCAGGGTAACGATAACGATGGCGCGGACGACCACGGCAGGGCAACAACGACGGGGAAACAACGCACTGGAGCGGGGGGGTAGGGTGGAGGGCACAGGGCCGCGCGGTAAGTCCCAAGATTCAAATTCGAAATCTTGGGACTTCCGCGCCATCGATCAACGCAGATCGACGGCCCAAGTCCCAAAAAAAAAAAAAACTACGAAATAGGGTCTACCGGACCCCCAAAAAATTTGGGGCGGCCGCCAATTTTGTTTTTTTCCATCTGGGCCTCCAGCCCGCAGCGCCCAAATTTTTTTTAAAGGGATTTGGGGGCCGGCGCTGTGGGGGCCCGGGAGCCTGGCCGGGGGGGTCGCACGGCCGAACGTCCCGAGCGCCCTTCCGGGCGACCTGGAGTGGCTCGGGCGCCCAGGCTGGAAAGCTAGTTTGTAATTCAAAATTGAGTAATCATTCGTTGGGATCAGAGCAAAAACTCTGATTACGAATTTCAGATTAGGAATCTTGCTCAAAAAATACGAATTTAATATTAAGAATTCTGCTAAGAAAATACGAATTTTAAATTACGGATCTTGCTCGGAATCAGAAAAAACGAATTTCAGATTAGGGATAAAAAAACATCCAAAAAACACCTAAGATCTCATGAATCAGATTTTAAACAAAGCGCAATCATAAAAACAAAATCATTCAAAAACAACCTCTGAAGAGTCTGAACAATTTTCCCGGTCACGCCAGCATTAGAATGCATCATCGCCAGAAAAATCCAGATCATGTTTTATGACAGAAAAATCCAGATCATGTTTTACAACAGAAAAATAAGCACTCAGTAGGGATTTTATAGGCTTGTAATCAGAAGGAAATTAGCACCTCAACCATCA